TTCAAAGCCCTAATCAATGCCAAAGTGGTTAATCACCTTACATCCCATGATCTGCTCCGAGACGAGCAATATGGTTTCCACTTTGCCCGATCTACAGCTGATGTGCTTACGGCCATCACTGAAACTGTCTACCAAGCTCTTCAAAATAATGGAGAAGCTCGTGCCATGGCTCTAGACATCTCCAAAGCATTTGATAGGGTTTGGCATGCAGGCCTTCTTTGCAAACTTACAGATCAATTGTTTGACTTAATACAATCATTCCTGTCAAACCGTGAATTGAAGGTCGTTCTCAATGGATCCTCTCTAGCTCCTATCCCATGAAGGGAGGTGTTCCCCAAGGCTCCATCCTAGGCCCTACTCTGTTCCTTATCTTCATCAATGATCTTCCTGACACCATAGATTCCCAAGTAGGCATCTATGCGGATAACACTACAATTTACTCCTACCTCAAAACCAAATCTAGTGTTGCTGACAAAATTAACTTGGCCGTTTGTCTTGAAAAGGACCTCCAATTGGTTGTGAACTGGAGCAAGAATTGACTGGTTAACTTTAACATCTCAAAAACAAAACTGCTCTCTATTAATCACTGCAAAGATCCTTCCCCGCCCTCCATTAGAATGTCTGATGCTCAACATCTTGAGAGCACTTCTCTGCGGCTGCTCGGTCTCACATTGTTTGCTGACCTGAGATGGAACAAATACACTGAGTCAATTGCTTCGTCCACCGCAAGGAAATTTGGCTCCCTCTGCTGCGCCAGGAAATCTTTCTCCCTGGAATTGATCCTTCAAATCTACAAATCAACCGTTCACCCTTGCATGGAGTATTGCTGCCATATAGGGTCTGGAGCAACTTCTGTTTGCTTTGGGGTTCTTGATAAGATCCAGAGATGGATATGCAATATAATTGGCCTTGTTCTGGCATCTCATCTGCAGTCGCTCTCTCACAGACGTGCCGTCACCTCTCTGTCTTTTTGACAAATACTTTCATGGTAATTGCTCCAATGAGCTGCTTTCGCTGGTTCCCAGACTTCATGAATTCAAGCATCCTATGAGGCTGGCTGCCACTCTCACCCTTTCACTGTTGAAACTGTTAAATGTAGCCATCTCTTCTACTCCAATAGCTTCATGTCTCACACCTCTCGCCTGTGGAATTCCCTCCCTTCTTCCTGTTTCCCTGATAGCTATAATCTCCAACTATTCAAATCTAATGTCAATCGACATCTCCAGTTGCCATCATCTATACACTATCCTTCTCCTCATCCTTTCCTTTATCACTCCTATCTGCTCTCACTCCAAATATTCTGTAACCTCTTGTGTGCTAGTGGCTTCCTGTCTTGCTTGGGGTGAAATGCTTAAAAAAAATTATTTACTTTTAGTTTAGTTTAAAATTCATAAAATATTGAACATAAAAGTTTTCAATATTTTATAAGTATAACACAATTGCAAAATTGCTTAAATATTGCTGGCATCAGTGAAAGAGTTAGAAATAAGTCACTCCAGAAATTCTAACAGATATTCACTCTGGAAATGAAAAAAACGAACAAAGCTCATCAGAGAAATCATTTACACCTTGACACATGATATTCAAATTCAGTTCAACATTAAGCTAATGAAAAATTAAATTGTTTTTCAGCCAATGAAAAATTAAATTGTTTTTCAGCCAATGAAAAATTAAATTGTTTTTCAGCCAATGAAAAATTAAATTGTTTTTCAGCCAATGAAAAATTAAATTGTTTTTCAGCCAATGAAAAATTGTTTTTCAGCCAAAATTAAATTGTTTTTCAGCCAATGAAAAATTAAATTGTTTTTCAGCCAATGAAAAATTAAATTGTTTTTCAGCCAATGAAAAGCTTTAAAGTTTAATTAAAGAAACACATCTGTTCTTCTTTTATGGAGGCCAGTCTTTTGAAAGACACTTAATGGTATAATCAGACACATAGTGACTCTGAAAAGTAGAAAAGTCAGCAGTAATTCTCTACTTACCACAATAGCAAAGAGAAACTTGATACTAGCTAACATCAAAAGAAACTGAATTATTTGATAACTGAAATAGGAAGCTAAAACTTTTCCAATATATGACACAACTTTTTGTTATTACTTTTAAATCAATCTCAAAAAATTAACTTCATTAAAAGTATTTGATTTCAGGAACTTTAACCCTATATACTATTTTTTCCTTACACACAAAAGAAAGAAACATTATCAAATGTATCTTAGTACATTTCTCTTTATTGAAGAGTTTAAATTCTAAAAAGTAAATAATTTATATAGGGAAATAAGTTTGTTAATTGTGATATGTTGATGCAACTTATTTTACATTTTGCCATCCAGCAACAAATATCCAAAAGTTTCAACTCAACCAGTTTCTCAATAAGCATTCAAAAATTACTGGTCTTTTCCCACTTAAATCTATCCATTTAGTTAAAACTTGTTAACCATCACACTAAATTGTGATATCATAATGGCCAAAATTATAATAATGCTTCCATGGACTTCATATGCCAGGAGTGTGAGAGTTCTTTTAGTATCAGCATCAGTTCTGTTGTGAATATTTCAGATCTTTCTGACATTGGGTATAAAACATCACTTTCCATTTGGCTATTAATCAGAATAAAGAAAAAGAATACAATATCATTTCTATCCAGCTGAAGTGGCTGCAAAGATTTCGAAGATAATGATATACTCCAGGAGAAATATCAGTTGACAATGAAAAAAAAAAGTCAGGAAATTGAACGAGGTGATAGAGAAACCATCATTAGAAATGTTGTTGAATGGCACTCATGAAAAAAAAAAAAAAAAAAAAAAGATGAAATTTTGCATAGCTGACATTATTGTGGGTGTCATCTTCAATAATGTGCTGTTTGTATTAGAAATGCTTTCAGAGAGATCTTAGAAAAAATGTCATTGTATATGGTGTTTATATATATTGTGAATGACAAAGACCATTCAAGTTTATTGTTAAAGTTGGTATTTGCTAAGCTTAGTTTAGCATGAGGCCAAATGGTGCAAGAAAGACTGTATAATACAATTCACTCAAGTGCCTAGAAAATCAGCATGCACATTTTTGGCTTCAGCTTGAGATTGAATACTGAAAAATAAACAGCAGCTTTGGGATTGGGATGGTGCATGCAGTGACAAGCAAGAAGCTTTCTCATTTTGGCATCCATTCACTTAATATCAGTTATGGTTCATGTTGTGTATGATACACCTAATTTACATAAGTGGAGTACCGACCATATAAATATGGGTTGGTACCGAAGAAATTCACAATTTGAAGATTAAGAGATCGAATCCAGAGACTCTGCCCGACTGCAACTTTAGTCAACCCATTCTGCAGGAAAAAGTCTTCCCAAGAATATACCAAAACTACCTGTAAATATTGTACCTTTTTTTCATTGTTTCAATACATTTTGTTACGTACATTTTGTGTTGTATTATTATTATTCCATGCTTATTCAAGCTTCAACAATTCAGTTAAGGATGTTGAAATTGGCTGCCCTTTTATACAATGTGTTTATGACTGATATTCTGTTTTATTGAATTCAGTTTGGTATTCAATACCAGATGTACATGCCTGTGTAGAAAAATCACGTGGTCGATATAAACACTCAGTTGTGGAGCAAGCTAAGTGAATAATAATCCAACCTTTAGAAAGAGAGCTATTTATGGTGCCATGGAACATCTCATTGTGCTAAAGTAGGATAGTCCATTGCTTGGGTTGTGATTGGCTGCTAGTACCTGAGTGGAGGTATTTCTATATAAATACCAGCTTGATTCATCAGTTAGTTTGCAGGGTTTGTATTAAGTTACAACCTGCTTTATTTTTGTCTGCCAGCTGGACGCTAGCTGGGACCTTTATGCCGGTAAGTGCTGTTTATTGTATTGTTATTCTACACTTGAGATTGAATACTGAAAAATAAACAGCATAAGCTAGTACACATTGAACCAAGCCCAAACCCAAACTAAAATGCATTACTACTAATGGAATAAGAATTTTTTTAAATAGGCCTCCAGTTCTGGCCATTATTTGCAAGATGAGTAGAGCTGTAATATAGAACACAATAGCTGTGTCCCTTCAGGACATTGGTGATCATCTCTCTCTACAATTCCTACCATTTTTACCTCTTAGGACCGTTTGTTTTTTACTATTTTTCCCAATCCTTTACTATCTGCTATCCATTTATACAATCTTGTTAGGTAGGTTATTTGCTATTTCCAGCAGCTCCTCTTGCCTTCATATGCCCTACGTTTGTCTAATTCTCAAAGCCCTCTTTGCTCATTATGTGTCTCAGATATTTGAATGGTGTCTTTCTGATTCAACATGTAAGTGGTCTTTTTGTTTCTTTAAGACTTCCTTGTTGATCACATGCTCTGTCCATGTTATTCTTGAATACATAAAGTTGTCAGCAGATTTCTTGTTGAACTTTTATAAAGAAAATGCATTTTTGTATAGCATGTTCAAACTTGTTATCCAAAATGTTAAATGAGCAATTCAAAAGCTACCTATACACTGATGCTGTAATTGCTTTTGCAAAAAAAACATCCTGGATTTGAATTTTGAAAAATTTAACATAAAAATACACACTGACTTTTTACAGTTACTAACACATAAATTTACAAAGGGGTGTAACACAAGGATGTGTCTTCCCATTGGACTTAGTCAACTTATACAATGAGGCAATTCTGAGAGAATTAGAAATTCTACCAGAATTATTGGTATTTGCAATATTAACAATATGAGATATGCAGATTACATAGTGTTGATAGCAGACAAAGATCAGAAACTACAAGAACTCCTACAAAATGTAATGTAGGAAAATGAGAAAAAAGGATGAAACATCAATTGCAAGAGCATAAAATGCTTAGTTGCATCCCAACATGCAAATTACAAATTGGAGATACCAAAATCAAGCAACTACAACAATTTAAATATCTGGGAAGTGTAACAGAGGATGGAAAGTGCAACACTTGAAATCCAAAGGCATATTGGGATATTGAAATATGTCTTCCAAAAGGTAAGCAATGTATTAAGAAACAGGAAAATTTCATTAGAAAAAAGGAAAGAGCACTGAACTGTTAATGTAATATCAGTCCTCTTATATGGCAGTGAATGTTGGACAATCTCCTTATAGATGAAGTAGATACTTGAAGCAAAAAAAATGTGGTTCCACAGAAGGCTGCTGAGAATACCATGGGCCGAGCATATGAGAATCAACAAAGTTTAGAGACACTCATACTTCAGAAAGAAACATCAGAACGAGACAGCTGAAATTTCTAGGGCACACATTGAGGAAAGAAGGCTTGGAAAATTTGATAGTCACAGGTGGGATTGAGGGCCAGAGGAAAAATGGTGTATAATCTACCTAATGAGCTTGAGTAAATGGATGGCAGAGCAGGGGTTGGTTGAGATAACAAAAATATAAAATTTAAGAGCTACAATAGGAAATTGTGGAGAGTCATGACTGCATATGGGGACATGGCACAGAGAAGAAGTAACAGGTAAATTTAACCTTTAAAACATTTTTTCTGATGAAAAATAAGAATTTATACAGCTTACATTGTTCTGCAGGATGTGGTGCAATGTTTACAGAAAATGCAACAAGATCAAACAAAAATAAACTCATGTAAGAAGAAAGAAACATTGTGGCAAAGTCATTAAAAAAAATGTTGCATCACAAATACACTGAACATCTGTGAAGATGACATTTTTTGTGGAGGAAGGACAGAAAGAAATTATCTAAATACCATGTATATTTTCTGCTATATATGATAAATATTATCCTAGCCACTCAAGGTAGAGGTTTCAGTAGGAAGCATATTTTATATTTATGTAGAAAAGATGATCAGTTAACCCTAGACTTGAATAAATTAAGATTGCAATGATCAGGGAAGCATTCTTTTTGGTGTCAGTTCCACAGATCAGCAGATAATGAGAAAAAAAACCTTGAGGTGAACTTACATCTCACCAATAGAATATGAAGGGAATGAGAGTGGTTTGCTACAACATGCATGTCATGGCGGGTCTTTGTCAAAAGGTTAGAACTCATGGATTTATTATTATTTTTTATTAGGGTTATCTTTATTAGACTAACTAATTTGAATTTGTGATGACTATTGCTGCCTAAAATAATAGGCTCTATCGGTCGATTTGCGGTAACTGTTTCAAGTCTGTTCTCACACCACATCACCTGATGTACAAATTTGTTCGACCCTTTAAGAAAAAAATTCTTGGGCAAGTCATTGTATTTTAGTTTTACTACTATCCCTTCATTTCTTTCTTTTTTCCCCTTTCACTTCCTACACTCTCTTTCTCTCTCACTGCCTCTCTTTTTATATTTGAAAATCTGTTTTCTGTCTTTCTTCCTCTCTCCCTTTCTTTTCTTCTCTCTTGCTTTCCCTTCCTGTTAATTTAGTATATCTGTCCGAGGGAATTGTCTCCATTGATTAAGAACCTTCATTCTGAAGAGATGTATATAAAAATATTCACAAAATAAATTATAACTGCAATGAATCTTTAAGGTCTTTTTCTTAAGTTAATATTATTATAATTCTCTATAGTTTATACTGAGTTCTCTTTTGATTAATATCCTCCTTGGAATTATCCTACTAATCACAAATTGGTATTATATATATATATATATTATTTATTTAAAAATTATAATATAAATATGCTATAAAATCACTACAAAAATAGCCATTTTGTTTCAACAAGTGATGATGTTGAATATATATATATATATATATATATATATATATATATATATATATATATATATATATATATATTAAAAAGAAAAAGCCTTAAAGATCCATTTCAGTTATAATTTATTTCATGTATATTTTTATATTCACCTCTTTTTATTTCAACTCCATTTATTAAGAACCTTCAGTCTGAAGAAATGAATATAAAAATATTCACAAAATAAATGATAACTAAAATGAATCTTTAAGGTTTTTTCTTGAGTTGTTATTATTATAATGCTCTGTAGTTTACATTGAGCTCTCTTTCAGTTAATATCCTCCTTGGAATTATCCTTCAGTCAGTTATGCACCATGCGTGATACGCTCCTTAGGTGATCATGTATCTTTGTTACATGACTGATGAGGCAGAATTTTTTCCTGCAGTAGGGTTGCCATTTCTTTCTGCGGTAGACCAGTCATTATCCAAGGCTACAGAACCCTGTCTGTCCTGCTGTTTTTAAATAACTGGGGGTAAAAGAAGCAGATTCATATATTTCCCAAGGGTATTAGCATGTAAGTGAATGTATTGGATTCAACTGGAATGTGAACTCAGCTCTCAATTCCTCAATCCAAGACGCTTATCCATTACTCCACCATGCCTCCTGAACTAACCCTATCAGTCACAAATTGGTATTTTTTCATATATATATATATATATATATATATATATAATGGACTCTCCCATTGGTTTCAACATATGAGGATCTGACAGCTTAATTGATTCAGTTATGAAATGTTGTGCAATAATCTTAAGTGGTACTTAAGACCCATAGTCATTTACAAAGGCGGCCACATATAGAGCAGCAGTATATGGATAAGAATGAATGAATCAAGGTAAACCACAAGAAAACTCACACAAGTGATTTGGTTAAAGTTGTGAAGGCTATATATATATATATATATATATATATATATTTATGGTCATGTTTGAATCCCACCATGGATGATTTATCAAGAAGGTGACTTGGAGAGGTAATCCCAGTTTGTGGCCCATTTGGAATGTGCCTAAAAATCATATCATCAGTTGATCTGACCTTTGTGATTGAAACTGGGTCAACAGAACTGTTTGAGAGTCATTGCTGGTTATGCTAGCATTGAGTCAGAAGTCATCATGACTGAGGGATGCAGATTACTGGGCTTGTGCAAGCTGCAGGTCATGAAAGATTATGCTCCCTTCCAGAAACTGTAACCCAGCTTCGCTCAGCACATTTGCAAGTCTAAACCACAAGTGGGCTCTGTGTGGATGGTGAAATGTACATGAACAGGCATTTGCAATAAATATTGGTTAGCCACCCTATCAGATAGGTGTGACTGAAAAATGAGATTCACCATTTTTATTATATTATTTCTTTATGTAAATAATATTTTTTTTATTGTGCTTTACCAGTGCAGGGTAGTGTCTATACCCTCATGACATTCCTCCACACATACACACTGCTCATTATGTTTTTCCTTTGCTATTATTTTCATTCAGTTTCAATTTTCTGTTTCTTTCATTTTTTTTTATATTATCTTTTTCCTACTTCATTTTTCTTTCTTTTCATTTCATTCTCTGCAGTTGAAACCACTCCAAAGAATTCATAGCAGCATTTGAACCAGCCATAATGTTTTCTCACCAGTTGAACAACAAATGAAGGGGCCACTTGAAAATGGATTTATCCAATTATCAATTTTGTCAGGAGAATAGTTTGAAAGTAACCGTCTGCATTCTCAGCTATTCTTACAAAATATCATTTCTCCCCCCCCCCACCTCTAAGATGCAATTCTTGCTGCACCTGCATTTAAAGGGAGCTAACCTCACTTTTCAGGGCTCTTACACTATCACTAAAAAAAAAAAAACAGATAAACCTCTAGAAAATAAGAAAACAAACATGAAAGAACTGAGGGAAAGAAATAAATGACTGCTTTGTAATATATTATGCATGGAAGATTTATTTTTTCTAAATATACATGCTGTCCAAAAGCTAATGTAGATAGATTTTATCAGTTCATAATTCTGTAAGTCTTTTTTCTTTATTCAGATTAAAATTAACCTTAAAATGAAAGATAATAACAGAACAATGAATTCTTGGACAATGGAACAAATGCAACTGGAAATATGAAGTGGTAAAAGAATTAAAATTTATTAACAACAAACATTTTTATACAATTTGGTAAAGGAAGATTCAAAGCCTTTTTTTAATTATTTCACCCCAAGCAAAGCTAATATGCGAGTGAAAGTGAACGAGAAGTCTGAGAATAGGGAGAATTGAGGAAAGGACAAAAGATTAAGGCAGAAGATGGTGATTGATGTTGCATTTAAATTTTTTGAAAATTGTAGTTATCAGGGAAGCAAGTAAACAGAAGAGAGTTCCACAGGTGGGTAGTGTGGAGAAAAGAAACTGTTGGGGTATGAGTGATGGTTGCATTTAGCTGTTCCAAGAGTAAAAGTGGAACCTAGATGCCAGTCTAGTTATAGTCTAGTGGTACTGACTCACAGGAAGTAGTAGGCACTAAACTGCTTTATGGGTAATAGCTGCAGCTATTTATAATCTTTATGACTTTATATGTAAATGAGTCACCTCACTAGTAGCATGTATAAATTCATGTAGTTGAGGCACCAGGGAAAAAAGCTCATCAGAGCAGTCGCCATGAAAATATTTTGTAGAAAAGACAGAGGGAAGCCATGTTACATTGGTGACAAAGTGACTGAAGTTGAGATGCCTGGTTAAGATTGATTACATTAGAGATCCTTCCTTGGATTTTGTCAAGAATCTCAAGATATACAGCAGGAGCACCAGACCAGATATGGCGGCAGTATCCAATGGAGGGATGAATGGTAGATTTGCAAATGTGCAAGATAGATTTTGACAAGAATGTTTTTCTGGCACAAAACAGTGACCCAAATTTCCTTGCAAGTAGATACAGCTGTTGATTTGATATAATTGCTTCACTTCAAGCCAATGGAAAACATGAGTCCAAGAAGGCACAGTGTGTTGCCCTCCTGGAGTCAAACAGCAGTCAAGTTGATGGCAGGCAGAAAAGTTCTTTATGGTGGTTAAATGAAAGCAGTTTTGTTTTGGAGGCATTCAAATTTACATACTATTTCCTGCCCCAGTTAATCTCTGATTGGAGGTCTTTTTCAAGAGCAGCTGCCAAATTTACTTTCTCAGATCTGACGGATTTGCTATTGAGATAGGTAGTGTCATCTGCATAAATGCCTAGCTGGGAACTGATGACATCAGGGAAATCATTGATGAAGATCAGAAACGGTGTAGGACCCAGGATAGAGCCTTGGGGACACCTGCATTAGCAATCATATTAATAACTAAAGCGTGTTGATAACATTGCTGTGTGGACAGTGTGTTCAATGACTTAATATTATTTATTTTCATAAGTTTGATTAAAAAACTTTTTAATTAAGATTAAATATTTGAAAAAAGCTTTGTAAATTAATACATTATTCTGAGAGTATTTGTTGGTTAACATCTACTTAGGTATCTTGACTGCTCCCTTCTACCTAGATATCTCAGTCTGTTCATATCTATCAATCTGTTCATATCTATCTACCTATCACTATTCATATCTCTCTACCTCTATTTTTGTCTCTCTCTCTCTATCTACCTTTATTCATATCTATCTATCTATCTATCTCAGTCTGTTCATATCAATCAATCTCTGTTCATATCTATCTACCTATCTCTGTTCATATCTCCCTATCTCTCTTTTCGTCTCTCTCTCTCTCTCTATCTACCTTTATCTGTCTCAGTCTGTTCATATCTATCTACCTATCACTATTCATATTTCTCTATCTCTCTTTTCATCTCTCTCTCTCTCTACCTTTATTCATATCTGTCTATCTATCTCAGTCTGTACTTATTTATGTATCATACATATCTTGCAGTAATCTGTTCATATCTTTCCATCTTATTTTGTTCCTATTTCACATTTGAATCTCTCTATGTACATCTGCTCATAACTTTCTCTTCTACATTCTCACTCTTTTTCTTTCTCCCTCCCTCCTGTCTTCTCACTCTCTTCTTACCTCTAACTCTCTCTCTCTCTCTCTCATACATTATCTCACTGCGTTCATAATTGTTGATTTCTTTTCATATATTTGATATAGATATACATCTTTGTCAATTCACTATCTATGGTTTTTCCTACTCTTTTGTCCAGGAGAATCTCTCAGGCTAACTATATCAATTTAAGATTAGAAATAAAAGCCTTTTGCCATTTAATGTTTAATTAACATTATCTCAAGTGAATAAAATATTAGAAAATTTGTATATTTTGTGGGATCAGACTATCAGTGTATATATGTAATGCTTATTTTCTTGTTTGTGAAGTATATCGTCACTTATATTCATATGTGTATATATCTGTATATATGTATATCTTAGTGTTTTTAAATGGCTTATCTATGCTAACTATAATCTACTTTTGTTTGATAGTGATTTTAAAATTGCTTGTGGGCTTAATAATCAACAGTTGTGTTTTGTTACACTTTAATCTTGTATGAGCTCTGAATCCTTTATAGTCATTTTAATAATATTGTTAGTATATATATATATATATATATATATATATATATATATTTTTTTTTCTTTGTTTCTACTTATTTTTATATGGGTCTATTTACTTAGATGTTTGTATCTGTGCCTTTATTTCGGTATGATGGCTTATTTTGTCGTTTTTTTATGTTGCTGTGTAGGTTGATATATTTATTTCTATGTGTGTGCATATGTATGTATGTATGTGTGTATATATATAAATATATGTATATGTGTATGCATGTATATTTATTTTCTTGCTTCTGAGTATATCATCACTTGTATTGCAGTATTTCCATAGTTTCACCAGAACACTGCAAAAATATAATCTTTTAGCCCAGCCAGGGACCCTGACTCGTGGAAAATTTGTTAACTTTGATTGATTTTGAGTACCATTTTTGTCTATAACCAGCTATCCTGCCTAAAACATGGATCGTATAAGGATGACATGCTTAACAACCAATGCATTTATGAGAAGCTTTCTAATATAAAAAGAGGCTTTGCAAGGAATCAGTTGATAGAATTTGCACCAAAAGAAGTCATATACGTCATTACATGCAATCAAAGTTGTAGGTTTTATATCGAAATACCTTCTCCTAAATGGATGGCTTAGGAAAGACAATGGAGAGAGTGACAGAGACCTATTGTATTAATGAGAAAAATATACTTCTTCAAGTGTTAAAATACCAAGGAACTGTAAAATTATATCTGCCATGTGTCATTAAATTTCATTTCATAATTATATTTAAATTCACATTCATGTAAAAACCTTAAAAGACAATCATACAAAAGTTATATTTGCCTTGTGCTACTAAATTTTATTTCATAGTCATAATATGTGAATCCACATTCATGTGAAAAACCTTAAAATGATAACCATACAAAAGCCATACCAACTATTTCTGGATGTTCAATCATTTTCTTATTGAAAACAAGTAACAATCAGATCTTATGTTTCTTTACAAGTTTTCATCTGATATAGATTAACACCAGAAGAAATTCACAAAAAGTCTTGGTAGATATTCTGTCTTGTATTGAACAGAATATTATTTACACTATATTCAGATCTTTATGTTTATCAATGTTTTGTTGTACCCTCTGGCATATATAGATCTGGGTAACCTACAGGGAATTCTGAATTGAACCCTTTATTTATTAATATGGGGGTAGACTGTTCATGTTCTACTGCTCATGTCTAGGGATATCTCTAGTTCTTATTCTTATTTAGTATTGCTTTGTTATTGCTGGTCTGCCTCTGAAGTTCAATCACAGTACACCCATAAATTAAATAAAGGGTTCGTTTCAGAATTCCCTGTAGGTTACCCAGGTCTGAGGAAGGTCAGAGATGACGAACAGCTCAAATGTTGTGATAACAACAAAGATGAGGACAATAGTCTGAATATAAATAGTGTAAATAATGTGTGGTGTGTAACGCAACAATTCAACTGATGATAGCAGGTAGGCACAAAGAAACCCGGTGTCGCACGTCCAACCTTCTCACGAGCTGAAAGCCCTCTGATCTGAAACAGCAAAATGAGCCTGCTTTATACAGCCGTGGACCGACCACGATTTGCATGCGAATGACGAGACAACAAGATTTCGCGTTAACTAACCGAGACCGCCCGGCATAAAACGTGGGTGCCGCCATTTTGGTTTTTCTTTTACCGTTGGAAGGACCAGAGTTTGCATACTGAGCAGATTCGAACGCGTTTCCGAGGTAAGCCATTTTCACAATTTTCCCCACATAATGATAACTCCTCATCCCAGAAATTCAGACAGAAGGTGATCAAGGGATAATAACAACAAAGATGAGGAAAATAGTCTGAATATAAATAGTGTAAATAATGATAACTCCTCATCCCAGAAATTCAGAAAAAAATTGGCAGAACATGTTTGTAGATATATTCCTTTTGAAAAATGTTAAAAAGAATTATAATGCACATTTCGAAAATCACATAGCTTGAAAGAGGATGTTCATGGATCAAGAATCAAGACATTTTTATTTGCACACACACACACACATATATATATATATATGAATATTGTTGGTCAATCATTAAGGTGAAATGAGCAAGCTTTAAAATGGGGAAATAAGCTTTCAAATAGAAACTTCTTGAACATAAAATTTATGAATAAAGGTAACACCTATGTCGTTTTCTGTCCAACTTAGATTATAATAAAGTTGCTACTGTTTAATAAAATAGAAAACTGAATGAAAAAATACTTACAAGATTGAAGTATTTTATAGTTAAAGAACATGCAAGGAGTTTTTTTTCTAATAAACTTGAGAATTAAGATTTATCAAAAAAAAATCAAATAAGAAAACCATGACATTTTCACAGGTATTTCTAGTAGATATAATTTTTAAAGTAATAAATAAACTTTTTAATTTGAAATTATTTCTTATTGCTTATATATTTGTTCCTTTCATCCCAAACAAGGTGATAATGCCATTAAGCCACAAGGAATTACTGGGAATGATAAAGAATTAGCAGACTTTAAAAGGAACTGGAAACCTACTCCTAAACAGGAAACAGAATAAACCTCTACTCTTGTTCAAAAGACTGAGGAGGAGTATGAACCGGATGATAGGCAGACCCATCTACTCCTATTATTTAGTTGGCACATATTTTTGAGAAAACTGTTTTGTTTAAGTTTGGGATACTGACTTTGAGACATCCCAATGAAAGATGAGCATTACTTTACAGTGATGATGACTTGTAGCCAAATAGTACAGCACACTTGGATTGAAAGTGGTTTCCTAAATTTAAAATGGAATACAGGTGTGATTACTCTTGGAAGGTACATTATTAATAAGACTGGCAATCTCTAGTGTGGTAGACATTAATTTCCTTGTTTTAAAAACAGGTATGTCTATTCAATCATGTTCACCCATTAGTCATAAGATATATATAGTTGTCAGAACAAAATTACATGGTTTGCAGAAAAAGTTGACCAAAATTCACATGGTTTAAAATCCAAAACGTACAGCAACAACAACAACAAAAATAAACAAAACAAATATATAAAGTGTGTGTGTGTATATATATATATATATATATACACATATGTATATATATATATATATATATATATATATATAATATGCCTAACTCAGTCTCCTGTTGAAAATGTCTTTTTATTGTCAAGATGAAAATGGTAGACATATGCTTATATGCCATAAATCGTCCATTTCCTAATGTATTACAAATTGATCGCATTGTGGTAGACAAAGAAATAAGCAACTTGTGACCAATGCTGCTTTAGAACATAAACATGTTAGGTGAATCAGCTAAGCTTTTAAAACAAATTGAACCATTTTGTGTCTTCAGGAAGCAAATCTAAATTAGAATGAAAGTAAATACTAGTCAAAATTAGAATCTTTGTTGGAAACTTCTTCATCTAAAAGAATTAAAATTATATCTGTAACAGTGATATTCTGTCAGTTATACTTGCTTTTATTCTTGACATTTGACAATCCCTTTTTAGTAATTCTCTTTTTCTATCATCCTGTTATTTCTCTATTTATTTTCTATCTGTCCTTACCCTTTTCTCTTTTTGCTTTTTCAGCATCCTCATTCATTAATCGGTATTTTTACTTCATTTTTCTTCACTCTCTACTTCCTTTCACTCTGTTTTTCATTCTTTTTTTTCTCCTTGATCAGACATATTCTGCTCTAGTTCTTCTTCATTTTCCCCTTTCTTTGTCGTCTCTTATTCTCTCTCTGTTTTTTCCATTTTAATCTCTCCAACCATTTCCCTCACTTTGCTTATATTCTTTCCATTTACACCACCATTCAAAATTGCATGAATCCATTCTTTAAAAATTGCCAGCCAACCTCCCTGAACCTTTTTCAATCATTTTTAAAACCTTGCCTCAGACAACAAAATCTTTATTACCATAATTTTAAAAACTCACTGAAAAACCTCTTTTTTTCCATTCAAATTTATTGAATGTGGACGACTTTTATGGGATCTTCTGGTGAATTTTATTATCTTCCTTCCATTTCCAAACAATGAATGATATTTTTTCTAAAGGAGCCCTGTCCATCAATTTAATATCTTTCTTTTTGCATGCTATAGAAAATTGGTTCTAAGTGAAACATCCCAATTTCCATAATGGTGGTGCCATGCTATGGGAAAAATAATTCTGATGATAAAATAGACAAAGGTGCAATCATTAATGGACACCTTGTAGTAAAACAAAAAAAAAGTTCACTTAAACTAAAACTCACACTTGCTGTTTTGGTCAGAGCAGTGAACTGTTGGCTTATAAGACTAAGGCTCTATCTTGAGTTCCTGTTTAGTTTTTGATTGGTCCCTGTAACTCAAAGATTGTTGGGTTGCTAGGTTTTTTTTCTTTTTGGCTTTTTTTTAAGCATTCCACCCCAAGCAAGGTGGGAAGCTACTAGCATGCAAGGAATTACAGAGAGTTGGAGCAAGAGCAAATAGGAGTGATAGAGGAAAGGATGAAGGGAAGGATAGGGGATAGATAAGGGTATCTGAACACATTGATTGACATTACATTTGAATAGTTGGAGATTATAGCTATAAGGGAAACAAGAAATGGAGAGGGAGTTCCACAGGCGAGAAGTGCAAGACATTAAGCTATTGGAGTAGAAGAGATGGCTACATTTAACAGTTTTGACAGTGAAAGGTTGTGAGCGAGATGCCAGCCTAGTAGAATGCTTAAATTCATGAAGTCTGGGAACCAGCGAAAGCAGTTCATCAGAGCAATTACAGTGAAAGATTTTTGTAAAAAAGACAGAGAGAGACAACGGCAAATCTGTGAGAGTGACTGCAGTTGAGATGCCAGATCAGGGCCAATTGTGTTACAGATATTACACAGACATGCAAAAAAAACTCTTGACAAAAGTAACCCCATTTCAGCTTTTGAGTATGTGTAAAAAAGAAAGAATTTGGAGTATTCATGCTGTAGGCATGTTCTCTTTCACTTCAGGCTAACTTGTGACAGGACACAAAAAGCAGAGTTCTATGTAATAGTTGCAATATGATGTAGGCAGTACACCTCACATGCTCACTGATTCACCTGCAGAGTAAATTCAACTTTCCTTCCTTATCTACAGTAAATCAAAATTCCTCAAAATTTTCTTGACACAAAAGATGTTCCTGATAGAATAAATATTTCTATCTTATTTTGTCTTACTCTTTCGTTTGTCTATTTTCTCAACACTTAGTTTTTGGTCAACACATGATTGCCTAACATAGTAACAACACATGATCGCCATGATCATAACAACAATTTGATGATCTTGAGGTTAAGTGTGAGATTCTTTACTTTATTATAGGAGAAAAAAAATAATCCTAGAAATAAAATAGAGAAAGGTACAATCATTAATGGATGCCTTGCAGTGAAATAAGAAAAGATTGTTGGGACTTTAGGGTCATTTAATTTATCAGAAGGATTTGTTATTAATGGTTGCGTGTTTGACCGCGTCCCAAACAAATATACAAACAATCATGATATTTCAAACAAGGAAAAAACGAGACATATATAGATCAAAACAATACAACATTTATATACAATTAAACATTTACAAACTGGAATAATATTTGTATGAGTTGCGTGTTTTAAATTGTATGTGTATGCTGAAATGGTTAATGTCTCTTGTATCGTAATGTTTGCTATTTTCTTGTTTGTATCAAAGATTGTAATAATAAAATTAAGAGTTTTTTGCAAAAGAGTTTGTCAAAGTAGTCTACCCTTAATCGTATTTTTGTATTTGTATTCGCTTTCGTTTTTTTATTTTTGTAATGATTATACATCAATATGCATAAGAAATTAAGTGAAAAGTTTCAAGAGTCGTTCGTCGAATGTTCGAAGTGAGTCAGTGAATGTTCTTTGAAAAGCGCGGCAAAATTATGGTTCGAAACGTCGTGGAGTATTTAGGCAATTGCTCGGTGAGTTAGCTAGACTGACTGAATGAAGTTGGTAATTTTCTTTAACGTCTGGTCAGCGATGACTAAGACGGGAGTCGGTGAAATGTTACATCTTGAAGGTTGGTAATTACAGCTACTCTGCTGCTCCGCTTCCACTGAATGGGGCTGTCTGCTTTTCCTTTATATATCCACCGGGTGGCTCAACTCGTTTTGGCGCAATTTCTGTTTCTGTAAACGATTGACCAATGGAATTGCTTGCTTCGATTTTCGCCATTTCTATTGGTTGAGGTTTTTTAGTACGTAGGCGTACGATGTGGACTGTACCTTTTTTAGGTTAGAAAAGGTGAGGATATTGGATGAGTCCACAAGATCATTTCTATCTGAAATTCTAGGATGAGTTTTTATCATTGATTTTTTAATTATTTGCAGTTATACTAATATCTTCATTGTTATGATCACATTTTAGTGGTTGTGAATTTCAGTCTTCTTCAAATCTCTGCTGGTCCAAGTAGCCTTCAGGGAATTTTAAACTGAACACTTTATTTAATCTATGGGGTAGAGTATTCTCACTCCATTGTCTTTTTCTAGGATTGTTATCATCACCACATTTTGGCTGTTGTGCCATTTGGCCTTCCTCAGATATATATATATAAATATATAAATCTGGGTAACCTACAGGGAATTTCAAACTGAACCCTTTATTTAATCTCTGGTGGTAGACTGTTCTCATTTAACTAGGGATATTGTCTACTTTTTATTTTTATTACTGCTCACCTGTTTTCCACTGAGTGCAATGCATACTGCCACACTGTAGAAATCAAATGACTTACCTGCTAACATGGCTACCTTCTTGGAGCTCCTTAGAAAGGCAAGCCAGCTAATTCTACCTCATTTATAGGAGAGTACTTAATGCAGCAGGTGGGTTAATCTACTTTGCTGGAATGGACCTGCCCAACACATTTGCACGAATAGATTCTATTCACCCATATATCTCTCCATTAAATGACTCAGGGAAAATGCAACTTCAAATGACTACACCAGTTTACTTGTGTGTCAGACCACTTACAAGCTAACCAATATTCTACACACACCAAGACATGCACTGAGTGCAAGTCTGGGTCAGGTAGTGTGTGTTTGCACTTGTAGGAAACAACAAAAATGAGGACAATAATCCAAATATAAATAGGGTAAATAATGATAACTCCTCATCCCAGAAATTTGAACACAAATTAGAAAATCATAAATCACTACATGGATGATTTAAAACATTTTGTCAAAGATGATGATGAATTCAAAGATCTCTTTAATACTTTAAAACATTTCAATGTTGATTTTGGTATAGACTTCAGAATGGCGAATGAAAACATTCCAGAAAGGGTGAATTACCAAAATGCACTTAATAGACTTCAATTTTGTCACAAAGATTAGGAGACTGGACCCAGAAAAAGCTTATAAATACTCAATGAAGGAGATGAAATGCAGTACACTCAAATGAATGAGAAAGAAAAGAATACTTATGTGCAATTGTGTCTGATGTTAAATTCTGAGTTGAGTTCACAAAATGGAATATCAGCCATAAACACTTTGGCTGTGCTGTAGTGCAATACACATTTAATATCTTTAACTGACATTAAGTGAATGAATAAAGCTTCTCACCTGCCACAGCATGCATCATCCTAAGATTGATGTTGATCATCTGTATATTTCCAGATCTGAATGAGGCAGAGGATTAGTTCAACTAGAACTGTCTTACAAAATGACAACAACTAGTCTTCAAAGAAGATGTCCTGGTAATAGGGGGTTCTTGCCTAATATATATGTGGAAAAATTATCTACAGACAGTACTGTATAGTCAGAGTTGCAATTGTCAGCCAAAAATATGCCCTTTGAACCCGTAAAAACGGGTTCAGGGTCGGTTTACCTCCCTGAAAGAGACTCCGCCCTTCGGCATAGCCTCGTTCGGGTTCCTCCCCGCCTGAAGGCAGAGAGTTCAACCGGTCAGCCAGTCGTCTGACTTCAGACTGAACTCAGACCGACCCACTGAGCGACTCCTTGTTACTCTTACTACTCCTACTTATTATAGGTGGGAGAGTCTATTTACTATAGAATAGGTGTGTTCCACTATAACACACTGTTAAGGTGGGCACTTCCATTTTGATGGAAGTGTGCAAGTTCTAACTGGTTACATCACCATCCATTTTGCAACAGAAAGATTTCTGAATTTAATCAGGAGGAATTTTTAGGTCAACTAAAATCCTATATTTGATAATTGCTTAAGTCCTGAGTTAGTATGATATTTCCGTTGTGTAATTAAAATGGACTTGTGTTAATTTTAGCATTTTTCATTTTGGAGAAAAAGATAATTCTGAATGTAATTTTTTTTAACAATGATAGATGAGAATAGAAATTTTCTGTTGATTATTTTATTAAATACATTAAAAATTGATTCATATGCATTCAAAATAAGACTTGTAAACGGTGCCAATTTACAGACAAAAATATTAAATATAGAATAATACTTTCACTAATTATTCATTCATGATCCTTTCAATGTATCAATGAAAGATTCATGAATGATTCACCTTGAAGACCTGGACACTTAGCCTGCATGGTCGAGAAAGTATGGGCCATATTTTTGCATTTGGATTTGAGTGCTAAATAAAACTTATTGACAGCAGCTCTTCTAACAACAGCAGTAACAAATAAGAGAAAGCTTCAGTGAGTGCAGTCAAGTGAAAGAAGCAGCAGCAGCACTCATCAACTGGCAGGTTAGGTTTAAGGCTCCAAGTTCTTTACTCAGGATTGTACCAAGGATTAGTGGATTAAAGCATTGGCCCATGAA